TCAGTTCGGCCAAAATTCAATTTTGGCTCGTAGCAAAGCAAAAATAAAGAATTGGAAAATAATAAATTGCTTTTTTATATATGTGTCAAACCCTTTTCACTGACAAAAAATGAAGGAAAATTATTTTTGGTCCCGAAGTCGAGTGGACCGCTTTTAGCGGGACTGCCACTTAAAACACTAAGCCTTCGCCGCCAGAAATAAGTTCCGCACTTCGCAACAAAACTTCCTCAACCGACTGGGAACTACGCATGTTTTTTCAAGACGGGAAAACGTCCAAAAAGCGAGCACTGTGCTCAGTGACGACTTTCAAAATGAGTCAGCAGATACTAGAGGGAGCAAAATGTGACCACAGCCTTTCCTTGCGTGTGGCAGGTGTGAGTGACCTAATCGCAGCTAAGGGTAAATATCATCAAAATTGCTATAAGAAATTCCTGAGAAATGTGTCTCGATCAAGAGATATAGCAAAAGATGAAAGTGGAGCAGTATTGTCGTGGCTTATCGATGAGTTAAAAAAAGTCTGCTGAACAAGGTCACATCTTGGAGCTTAAGGAGGTGTGGCTCCGCTACTGTTCTCTCGCTGCTGAGCAAAACATGGACATTCCTCCCTCATTTAGAAGTCGCATGACCACATTTGAGGAACACATCGCACCGCATGTTGCAGATGTTTATGATTTCGTTCTACTTCGTGACCGAGCGGTTTCTGAGCGCCAAACATTCTTAGTGCCATTTAAATTCTGTCATATTCCTGTCTCTCAAGTTTTGAATCGAAAAGCGCAGTCAGACGCTATAATCCCGATTTATCAGCCTGATGAAAAGGATGATTTTATATCGATGGCACACGTGGCGCTGAAGCTTCGCTCTGATATGTTAGCACAGCCTGCGCATCAGGGTCTAAACTTCTGCACGGAAGATACTATTACATGTGTCCCAGAAAGTTTGTATATGTTCATAAAGCTTATGCTTGGTGGACAGTCACTCCTTGAGAATGGGCTGGGTGATGGCGATGACGATGATCAGGAGGACGACGACGACGTCATTAACGATGACGATGATGACGAAGATCATGATGATGAGGATGATGATCATGGTACTGATGATGATCTAAACAGTAACGATGCTGTTGACGAAGAAGGAAAACAGCCGATTAGAAGCCAAACGCTCGGGTTAGAAAACAATAAACTAGGGAGCTTAGCATCACACAGGACCTAGTGTACAGTGTGAGTGGAGGCCGAAGGTGGACACTTAAACACGTTGTTCTCGGCAGCAAACTTCATCAAGCGACCTGGTCGAAGAAATTAATAGAAATGTTTCATAATGCCGGTCATACAATCAGCTACTTGGAAATCCGCTGGCAACATAGATATTAACGAGGGAACACTTGACGGGCAAAACACATTTCATGCAACGCAGTGTGCAGCCTGGCAAAGAGGTCCAGAATCAGTCGGCATCCTTCAGAACATATTACACCGACTAAGAGAGCAACCCAAAGTCCCAGATGAAAAGAACGCCATCTTACCTACATACATCAGAGAAGGCACAGCAGAACCGCAGTTTAAGGAAGATGTCAAAGGGGAATGGTTCAAACAACCAATCCAGGACTGTCCATCAGCTTTGAAGACAGTCGCAATGGACACAACATTTTTCCTTAAACGGCAAAATGAGGATCCGNTAGCCAGTTCCTTTTTGGTCCTTTCAGCCGCGGTCGAACCCTTGTACTGTTCACAGGCTATGGCGGATTCGGTGGTTTCACTTTACAACCAAGAGGAGAAGAACGAGTGCAGATCCAGGCTCATTAAGCACGCCATAAAATGTCTGACAACGGAAAGAGATACATCGGTTTGTGTAACACCATATCATGTTATCAATATCTGGACGAACCTTCTGAAAACTCAAGAGGCCATGCAGCATTTCTCCTTTGAAGAAAGACAATCCATAGCGAATGCAATTGAAGGATGGAAAATTTTCCATGAAAGTTGTTTACAGATCAAGACACCTCAAAACCTGCGGGTGTGTTATCTTGCGGGAGACAACCCCATGAACGATCTCCAAGTTCTTGTCGACAACGGCATCCTCACCCAGAACATCTGGGCAATCGAGAAAGATGCTACAATGATAGAGAGCGTGGTTAAAACTATCAATCACCAGAGTTTGAAAAATTTCAAACTCTTCAAAGGTGATATAATAAACTTTCTGATAGACTTGGAAGGACAGTTTGACATCATTTACTACGATGCGTGCGGCACCCTACCATCAAAGAAACAGAACACGTTGAAGGTCATCGGAACCGTGTTCCTGCACAACAAACTTACATCTCCGGGTGCGCTAATAACGAACTTTTCGTTTCCGCCTGAACAGGCGTCTGAACAGGACACGAAAAGTTCGTCACCTCAAGGTGAGGAAAGAAATAGAATTATGTTTTTAGCAGAAAGGTATTTACAGTATAGAGAATTAAATACCCCTGCTTTCCAAGATAATAGTGAAAATTATGAAAACATACCGGCCAATATTAATACAAGGACTGCCGAGGATACCTACAGTGATTACATAACCTATCAAGTCATTGATGCAGCCGNACCCCTGCTTTCCAAGATAATAGTGAAAATTATGAAAACATACCGGCCAATATTAATACAAGGACTGCCGAGGATACCTACAGTGATTACATAACCTATCAAGTCATTGATGCAGCCGCTGTCTATATCCCTGCCCAAAGAATGCTCCTTTCAGGCAGGATGTCACTATGGGATCAACTGTATACGAACAAACTTAAATTCCTTGAAAAGGTTAAGTTATATGACACAGGAAAAGAATACAGTGAAACTGCCAGTACATCATACTTGAGAAAGATCGGTTCTGCCATCATGATGATACCAGGAAACGATCTGTGCAGAAACTGGGTGAATGAAATTTTCCCAAACTGGAAGACATCATCTCTAAAAAAGGAAGAGATATCATCACTTCTTATGACTCATCATTTATCATGTTCAGAAGAGTTCATTGCGAAATTTGCCAATAAAGACTTTCAGGAGAGATGTCTGCTCAGAGAAGCTCTTGATCCTGATACGAATGGTGCCATACGTCCCAGTTTTTGTGATACACTAGATGCAGCTAGTGCGACCCGTTTGGTTGGTGGCATTCAGTACGGCCAATTGGCGAATCCATCTTTTCCGGTTGTAGACCAGTTACTACGACTTCGCTACACTGCTAAGAAGAGAACAATGTTTTCAGATGTATTTATTTTTGATAAATGTCGGTATTTTTATGACCAATTTCCTTCTGTTGATTTTGCAATTAATTCTATCAAGTCAGAACAGCAAATGTTAATAAAAATGATAGTGAATGGCTTGAGAACTCATTTGAGAGAAATTTGTTATGACCAGTTTTGTAATGTTGCTGACTTGCATGTAAACAGTTTGCAGATTCCACAACGGCAAAATGTATATGTTGATTCTCCAGATCTGTTGCATGAAGCTGATTTACAAGATGCATTGTGAAGTACAGGTACTTTTAGGATTTATGAGTAGCCACAATTTTTTGAAGTTTCTTTTTAGGGGGCTGTTACTTTTGGAAATTTACAGTAGTTAGTAGTTAGAGTGTTTGTTCTTTTTTTCATGACGTGAACCCTATGATGAACATTAACAACATTACTAAGATTTTTGACTCTATTCTCTAGAATGGCATAGTGTATAAGTACACTTGTCTGAAAGCTTTGCTACATTGAAATGTAATAATAATTATTATGAATGGTTAAAATTATAATTTCAATGGTCTGCTTGGTCAGTTTGAGACAATAACTGTGTACTTTTTTGAGTTATAAAAAATTAATTATCAGGAGTTTGACCAATGGGTGATTCCTTCATTATTTTTTGAGTTATATTAGCACTGGGGAAGAACACTTGAGGAGTGCAAGAAACTCTCAACTGCACCACATGATCTGATCTTTATGTACTTCTCTCATGTTATTCATAATTTGTCAGAATTTTAGGCAAAATATTAAACAGGTCTTGATGTCAATATTTTCTCCCAATGCCATCTTTGAGTCTAACAAAGTCTTGATCATGCAAAAGGGTCATACAGGCGTCTGCAAGCATTGTCGTTTCACAAAGTTTTGGATTTACCCCAACTGTGAACAACTGCTGTCTATTTTGGCATCGAAGTCGCATATTTGATTATGCAAGAGTCGCCATTGTGAGTAATGTGTGCTGCTTGAAATCTGGAAAGCTTGTCCCTTTTTTTCTTGGCAAGAGAATTTGATGGTTTCCACTTGCTTTCTCTCCTTGTGGAGTCCAAGGTAAGCTTAATTTCAATTATAAGTTCTTGGAAAGTTTTGGTTTCATTGTTTCTTTATTGTTTTATTTTGTTTACATGCATTGAAATAATTCTGCCTGTGTTAGTATCCGACGGAAGTTCGAAATTTGTAAGCTTATTTTAAAATATTTCAAGTAAGAAATTCAAATTGCCTTATCTTTTACATTTGTTGTCATTCACACTACATTTCTTTTGTATGTACGATCAAGTAAATATACTCCACAATATTTTAGTGATCATGGATGGACAAATTAGGTCCAAGAGACTGTGCAGATCTACATACATGTACTTTTTGCGAGAGAGATATGCTATCCAATTGTGTCAAACATAAGCCGGACGCATGGTGGCTGGTGATAAAGAGTTTTTTGTTTTTTTACTTAATCCAGAAATGAGAGATTTAAACAAATTAAAATCAAACCTTGAAATAATTATGGAGAACAGAATGCTTGATACTTGTCAACATAAGTATGTTCTGTAATCATTGCAAAAATCTATTACAAGAGACATTAATCTGCACTCCTTTTGAATATCACTGCATTGCTTGTGAGATTAGCACAAACAATTACCAAGATATATGGAAGATATTACACGGTGGCAGGAAGATATGAATTTTATGTTCGAATGGCAAGAACAATATCTCAAGAGTTCGCTGCGCTCACTCGTAAGATATTGTTCTTGCCACGAGAACATAAAATTCATATCTTCGAGCTAACATGTAATGTCCTTTTTGTTATATAGACATACTGATGACAGCGTTTCTGACAATTTTCCGAAAACTTCCGAACACATTTTGAAGATTTCCAAGGATTCTCCAAAACTTGTTCGAAGGTCACACGAATGTTTCCAAACATTTTCCGAAGATTACCGAAGATTGCTGACGACTTTCAAGGAAGACCCGAAGATGTTTCGATGACACACCAACGAATTTAAGTACAATTAAAGAGACAAACTTGATATCAGTGAAATCATCGATATCCTCACTAGTGAGGACTGATATGGAAAATACGCCACCCGAGTCCCGGATGTGTTTCGTATGAATTTTACGAGTGGCGTACAGTGGTGTCCATATGATAAATAGGAATAAAATACCGTGATGTTGTTTCCAAGAAAGAAAATGATTGTTATTTTACTCGCATACACTACAATATGTAGTACCCTTATTATTGCATTGCACCAAGTTGGGGCTTCTCCCTATAGTTGACTAAAGGTGCCCTTTTTTCAAGCTGGAGGTTTTATAAGACTTAACAGGACAGGGTTTTCAAACATTATTCGATTATTTATCTAAGATATAGGATGTAGTGGGGCCACATTAGGTTTTTGAAAGGGGTTTCAAGCTAGAAGCTACATGTATATAAAAGAGAAGTCTTTCCTGTCAAAAACACTATGTAAGGTGGATAGGGTTTTGACCTTGGGGCAGAGCGTCCTTGTATAAAAGTTTGTTACTTCCCTTTCCCCTCCCCATGGACATAGTTATAGAGTAAAAAACTTATAAATTGTAAATAAAAACAACCCCTTCACTTCGGGTTCAAGATTGAAGTAAAACTGTCTGAAATGATTCTTATAATATTGAAGGAAATACTTTTCTTTCTATAGATTTTCCATTTACCAGCAAGCTAAAATCAAATTGTTTATGTTTGACATAGCTTAAAGTAAACAAGATTTTGCCAACATGGATATCCATGCCTCGCTTAAGTGAAATTGGGCAAAATACCCTTGGCAGTCTCGGCATTCTCAAGTTGATTGTCTAAAATAAATGTCAAAATCATGAATTATAATTTTTGCATAATAATTATTATTGTTATACAGCTGTTTCATAATGTTAACTGAGTAAGGACCATAACCTATTTACCTTGACCCAAAATGCACTGCCAACCCACCAATATTATACATATATTATAACCAACTTCAGTGACTAGGTGTCAATTTTGGACTGACTGGTAAATATGGTGAACTCTCATTTAATGATTTCATTTTGAAACAGACTGTTGTTATTCTTTGACACTACATCATGTATATGTTAATATAACAACAATTTTCCAGTTCCAATCAAAATTAATTATCCATTTTTAAAGTTATAAGTAGTCTGTAAACAACCTGTTATTTGATTTTTGTATTTCTTTCTATTTTGAGCAGTCTGGGTTCGAGCCCTGGCTGGGAACATTGTGTTATGTCCTTGGGTGAGACACTTTACTCTTACAGTGCTCCTATCCACTCAGGTGTATAAATAGGTACTGGCAGATTTAATGTTGGGGGTAATCCTACGATGGACTAGCATCCCATCCAGGGGGGAGTAGAAATACTCTTAGTCACCTCATGCTACAGAAACCGGGATAAGCACCGGCCTGATGGGCCACTTGGCTCGTATGCAGACTTCACTTCCACTTCTGAGTTGCCACTTGCCTCTTTTTTTCAGAACGAGTGCTTGTGCGAAACGTTTCCCATGAAAATGACTTGATTTTCACGAGAATGAACGTACGGATGACATACAATACACATATGTTCGCACAAACACTCGTTCTGCCACAGAGGCAAAAGTCAACTTGGAATTGGCCTATTCATCCATGAGCTGGTTCAGGGAGCCTTTGATTCCGCTCTGAATGTGCAATCAAGATAGCTCGTGCGTGACGTTATGAGTAAGTGTATTTCCGCTTGTCGCATACTCTCGCGGTACATAGCAACGCTTTCAATCATCTTTATCATTTCGCCACCAGCAAATCAGCTTTACCGCTGATCACGAAATTCCAGGAGAGCAAAGGCACTCTTCTCCGGCTCCGTTACTCTACATATAGCAAAGATCGCAAAGATATACCTTACGAAATGTCACAGAAAACGAAATGTCTTACGTCACTCTACGAGGTCGTGGCCAGGAAATGGTAGACATGTTTGGCACATTTTCCTACTCTGACCCCTGGGGTGGGCTGACTTTTTTTCCGAAAAGTTTTTTTTTTTATCGGAACACCGTGATATGGTAAAAGTCAATGAATGGGAAAACCCTCAAATAAAAGGAATTCTGCTAATTTTCGAGGTGGCCTTTTTTCAGCAGTGACGATGGCATCTCGCTCCAGGCATTATATCAGCTCTGTTCCTCTCTCACTATTTTCTGTTATGCACAAATGCTTCAGGTCAAAAGCCCTATTTTGCATATTTTCGTTGCGTGATGAATATCATGCGTGTTCAACATCACGCTTCAGATTAAAAGACTGGAAATTGAGCGACGCTTTGGAAAAGCACATCCTAACGAAAAGGAAAGGCGGAATTTATCTTCAAATAAGAAGGCGAAAATTTCATTTCACATGTAGTTCAGTTCAAAGTTTGGTTGTGACGAGTATTTGATAAATCCCGTTGTCTTTGACATGGCAAAGCGAGCATACAAATACACACGGAGTGCAATCTCTAACGAATTAAGAACGAATTTTTTTCAACTGAATAAAGAACGCGTCCTCAAAATTTATCAAGTTACCTTAAATTACTACTTACATTCGATTTAATACTGACCTGAGTAATATTCCACAGCGAACACTTTCTGTATGTTCCAAGAGCCTTTGGATTGTGACGCTCTGCTGACCTTAAAACTTTGTTTGGTTTTATTTTCGCGAACGTTTATTGGTGCATGTTTATTTGTTGACCCGGGAGGGAGGTCAGCCAGCCGGTGAACATATGGGAGGAGCTAGACGGGTACACGTTTTATCATTTGCAATGGTTTGGGGGAGCTTTGTAAAGGGGTGTTCAAAACTAAGGCTAAAGGACTATAATACTCGGTCTCGGTCTGAAGAAATTCAACAATACTGTTCTAACCACTTCATACGGCGTACATATTTCATTTACGACCGTGATCTCATTTCCAGGGCTCTTCCTTCACCTCACAAGTTCTAAGGATTTTATCGGCGCCTTGTTCCAAACCGGTTGCCCTTGCAGGCCAATCACGATGTGTTTCCTACACACGAGGAATGTGCCCAATAAATAAAAACCCTGACTGTTTTCACATACGTACATCGATTTATTGGTGCATACAATTCAGCCCAATAGCCCTTTTAATTTAACTGGTTAGCTTTCCTCATTTGCATTACAATGTAATCGAACGCAGATGCGATGCAATAGACCAATTTCGATATATTAATATAAAATTCAGACTAACACAATGGACACAATAGACCTCACAAATAATAAACCCCACAAACTGTGTAGAAGTCCAGTTCTGTTCTCCTCTCTCTGTCACGCAACGCTACGCCCTCGGAGAGAGAGGGTCCAGGAGTAAGGTAAACATCTGGAACTTACTTTGCCTATCTAGACAACTGGTTATCTGAACCGAACCAACAAACATTTACAAAAGCACTTTTCCTAATATTTTAACTCCTAAAATGGCTAAAAATCTAAGTGTATATTTTTCGACAAACGCGATCTTAGCTTCATGTCACGCACCGCCAGGACTCCGAAATTCCCAATGCGCTAGTTTCCAAACGAAGGATGCTATTGAACTGGCAAAAGTAGTAAAGAGATAAAAATTTAGTACCTCTTAGAGGAAGGCCTTGGGATTTTCGGTTTTACGGATTTGGCTGATTTTTAATTTGGTTCGGTTTTTCCGTTTTTGCATCTAAAAACTACGGTTTTTCGGTTTTGGCGTCTTGCGCGGTTTGCAGGTTTTCTCCAATTTAGTCATTGGTTTTCGGTTTTTGTCAACAATAATGGCGGTCTTTCGAATCTTCTGTCCAATGCATTTTCTGGTTTTTCTGGTTTTACCGTGGAAATTACACCCAGGAGACGCCCTAAACTGTAATTTCAAGGGACCTCTTCTAAGCTTTCTACCTAGACTTTCTTTTAGAGGAATGCATGACAAGTCTAGTCTCTTTAGCAGCTGTTATTTGGGTCGTAACGGCTGCCAAGCAGACTATGAAAGGCTAAAGATAACATCAAAGCAAAAGACTATTTCTCAAATACCACGCAACTGGGATAATAACTGTGGACCATCGAGTTTCTCATTGCTCGATTACGAGTTGTCTCTCCTTTCCGTGGCGGGAATAACATTGCGTTCACGCGCTCCGTTCACGTGTAATAACAGTAAAAGAGAGATTGTTTGCTGGTTGTAAAATAAAGTAGTTTGGTTATAAAATACGACTGCCATTGTCCCTACACAAATGAAAATTCTGACAATGGCAGTCAAAATGCAACTTTAGAATGTCGTGTTTCTTTGAAACAAAAATTACCTAAAATCATTTTACCGTGCATTTTTTTCTAGTCTCACATTGCTATAGATCTGTTGAGCCGATTTACAAACAAATAAGCAATTTTTTAGACAACGACGAGTTCTGTACTAACGAGGGAAGGCGCAGAAAGAACTTCGGCAAGTACAACAAGTTTAGACATAAAAATCAAATAACAGAAAGAGAGATTCTGAAGCCTACCAAAGCTTTGTCAGTTAGGGCTTTTATTTCGGTTTTCGGTTTTGAAGGAAATTTCTTGCGGTTTTGCGGTTTTGGGCGATTTTTTGCGCGGTTTTTCGGATTCTAATAGGCCCCAACGCCCCCCTCCTCTTAAACCTTTATTGATGACGTCACGTGCAGACACTCTGTTTTTAGTGGTGCTGTGATGCGAGTAATTCGCTTGCCCATGATTGGCTGCGTGCAAGTGCTGATATCTGCGATTTTCTATGATGACGCGAAACGAAAACGAGTCAACTGAGAGACGAGACCCAACGACATCTGTTTTGAAACAGCTACAAAGCGATCAGTACTCATGACAAAGTACAAGGAAGTCGACTACAAGGCCCCGAAAAGCCGTTGGCCGCTTTGGGTTATCCCATTTCTCGTAGCAATCTTGCTTTTGTTGATCGCTATTTTTATTTTTGTGACCCTCAGCGCTAAACACCATTGTTTGTTCTTCGACTGCGAACAACGAAGAATTGACGATGGAGGCCTTGTACCACCAGATCAAAAACCCCGAGAGGACGATGAACTTCTTACTCCAACTGCCGAACCAGGTTCTAGTCGAGGGATGAAGAACGAGAGCGGAAAAGCAGACAGCGCCAACGAAATAACCGTTCACGGAGAGTTGATGTTCGAAGGAAGTGCTCCAGACCGGCTCCCAGGAAATTCGTCCTTGAAAGTGAAGTTTGAAGACGTTAGCATCATGGACGCCAGTTCTGTACTTCTTGGAAACACTGTGGTCGACTTGTCGAGCTACAATAAAGCAACGAACCTCAAATACGAGATCAAGTGCAAAAAACCCGATCCTCATGGAAGCTACAGTCTTTCTGCTGTGTTGAATATGGGCTGGCAAGCAGATAAGAACTCTTGGATAATGCAAGGGGACTACCATACGGATACCCATCACATAGTTAAAATCGAAGACGGAAAAAGCGAATACAAGAAGGATATAACTTTGGTTCGTTTTTACTAAATGGTGAGTGTCTTTTCGAGTTAGATAATAGACATTTTATTCTTCGTGATTTTCTCTTCGAGGCTAAGCTTTTTCGGTCGAATATCAACTTCAGTAAAGAGTACATATGAGTCTTATAAGTGTTGACATGATGTGTTCTAAAATTCACTGTGCCCGTGTTTTAACGGATTAAGGCTAACATAAATAAGAATTGGACCCTTAAAGATCACGCACACAAGCGGAGGATTTCAGCTTAAAATTCGTGTTTTCGATTCTTCTCGCAAGATCGGTGATCTCTCTTCTTTTGGAATGTATCAGACTTTATTTTGATGATTTAAGCTTATATTGAGCTAACTCAAACGTGAATAGTTCGATCTCAACCCAAATAGCTTTAAGTTTCATATACTTTTATTTTCGCGGAGTAGTGGAACATTTACATGCATAATGTTAATCGAGCCAGGTATGAGAAATTCTGTTTAATATTTGTCCACCTGCGCAGTCGCTCAGCCCGTAAAGAAATATCAAATTTCTATTTATATTGAAAAGTTTTAATAAATCTAGCTTAAAGATCTTTTTTATTCAGACGGTTTTAAAAGGTCTTGCTGGCAGTGTTAGTATCAAGAATAATCTTTTATTTTTCAGAGTAATTGTTTTATTGTTGTTAAAAGGACCTTTGTTTTGATTGGGAAAATTGTTAAATGAAAGAAAATTGCCAGAGTGAACTTGATTCGCATAACTTGCATGGTTTGAGGTAACATATCATATAATGCCATCCTAGTGATACTGATAGAGGGTGAACATGCTATTTTAGTACCAATAATTCCATGAAATTAAAGTTCAAGTTCCTTGAAAGTAAACCTTCTAATAATAGGAGTGGCAGATGCCAGGTGTTAAGGTTACACAATACATGTACCTTGAGAGTGCAACTTTTGTCAATTTTTTTCTTTTTAAACAAAAAAGAAAGGTTGCTACCATAAAATTCCGAAAAAGAGACCCTCCATGTTTAAGCCCCTCCATAAAGAAGCCCCCCAAATCTGAAACGCAAAAATACCTCCTATAATAAGCCCCTCCGAATATAAGCTCCCGGGGGCTTGTATTTGGAAATTATCCTCAATTGTACAAACCAAAGCAAACTACACATAACCACCTTTATCAGGAAGCCTTTTTTAGTCATAAAAGAATGATTCCGTGCACTAGAGCAATGTGGTCGACAAGTGTTAAGTTACCGTTTTTACTGTATTTCTGTACTAATAAAGTTTATTGCCATTGTGTTTGAACTTGGCATTTTCAGTGTGATTAATTTGTTACAAAATTCTAACCAAAACCCTAAGGCATATCAAAGGCATATCAAAGACATTCCGTTTTATTGAGTAAACTGTCCCGTTATGGCGTATATAACATGGAACTTCCATGGTTTACTGATTATTTATTCCATCGCAAGCAGATCGTTCAATTTCATGGTGTGCTTTCTGAACCAAATCCAATTAACACTGGAGTTCCTCAGGGAAGTATTCTTGGGCCCCTCCTTTTTCTCATCTTCTCTAATGATGTGCATAGTCCCCTTCGTCATTGTAAGATGATCACTTACCCTGACGATACGGTGATTTTTACATCCTCAAGTGATTACGATGCGATACAAAGCAACCTTTCACAGGACTTAGACAATCTCTCTAACTGGTTTCGTGAAAATGAACTTATTTTTAATCTGAAGAAAGGAAAATCTGAGGTGATGCTGTTTGGTACCGGTAAGCGGTTGAATCTGTTTCAAGGCTGTCAAGTCAAGCTC